AAGTAAAAAAATTGTTGCAAAAAACATCTAGGGACTAATTCCTATCGTCGTGAGAATAGTTGCTAAAAATTGCCTTGAAAAGTCAAAAATAAAGTTTTTAGCAATAAAATTTTGAAAATGTCAATAATAAATAAACTTTTAGGGACAAAATAATTTGGTTTTAAAGTGATTTATTTTTTAAGACAAAAAATTTGATACCAAAAAGATAATAATTGAACATTAATGTTCAATTTTCATTACTAAAAATATAATAATGACACTTTTCACAACAAAAATATTTGGTCACCTAAAAATAATTTTGTCACTAAATTTTGATCTCTAAGACCATCTCCAACGGTGAACCAAACCTGGCATCAAATTTAAAATTTGGTGAAAAAGCCACTTTTTTAAGCTCTAACGTTTTCACCAAATCGATATCAAATCCAGAATTCAGCAAAAATGGTACCAAACTGAGTGCAGGCGAAGCATTTAACGAATATTATAATTTGACTAAAATGCCCTTTTGACAAATAAGGGCAAATTACCAACACCCCCTTGAGATTTAGCTAAATTATAGATTCCCCTAAGATTTAGCTAAATTATCATTTTTAAATAAGTTATGAAATGCAAAATTAAAATGGAAAAACACTTATGACACTACAAAAAATTAAGGTTTTAGAGCATCTCCAACGGTGTACCAAATGTTTCACCAAATCTGAGTCAAAAATGGGTCATTTCTTTATTTTGATACTTCGCGCTCCAACGGTTCAACATCAAATCCGTTTCATCAAATTTGTGCTGGGCGACCGGTTGGTTGACCGGCCGGTCGACCGGCCGGTCAACCAACCGGTCGCCCAGCACAAATTTGATGAAACGGATTTGATGTTGAACCGTTGGAGCGCGAAGTATCAAAATAAAGAAATGACCCATTTTTGACTCAGATTTGGTGAAACATTTGGTACACCGTTGGAGATGCTCTAAAACCTTAATTTTTTGTAGTGTCATAAGTGTTTTTCCATTTTAATTTTGCATTTCATAACTTATTTAAAAATGATAATTTAGCTAAATCTTAGGGGAATCTATAATTTAGCTAAATCTCAAGGGGGTGTTGGTAATTTGCCCTTATTTGTCAAAAGGGCATTTTAGTCAAATTATAATATTCGTTAGCGACGTTAATTGCGATGAGACAGGATGTAATTTTTGAAACCTCATGAGAAAATCTGTAATTTTGTTAAACCTCAAGAGAGGTGTAGGTAATTTGCCATTTTTTATTTTTTTATTTTTGATAAATTAGGACCTTATATTGATCTTCTTTTTTGGCAAGCCACAAGAAGTCACTTTTTTTTTTCAAATTTTTTTGTTCTTTTTAATTTTTTGTGATTTTTTAAAAAAAATTATGTCAAAATTTTTTACTTTTCCGATCCCTTGTTGAGACGAATCTAAAAAATAATTTTTTTTAAAAAAATATGAAAATGCCAAAATGAGCCCAAAAAGATTGTTTATTTTTGCTTATTTTTGTCTTCTTTGATTTTTTTTTTTTTAGAATTTTCTAACAAATTTATTATTTTCTAGTTTGTCTTGTCGATCTGAATTAGAAACTTAAATTTTTTTGAAAATTTTTAAGAAAAGTTCACTAAAAAAAAAATTGAAAAAATAAGTAAACCTTAAAACAAGAATAAGGTTAAAGCAACCATAACGTGGACAGATAAATAATATCAAATATATTTTTTAACATAAAAAATGTGATAATATTATTTTTTTTATTTATACAATTAGCATATTTCTAACAAAAGAAGAAGGATTAGTATTTTATGAATTAAAATTTTAATAAAAACGGTGTTTGGCAACTAAGGTTAGATTTTAACCCCATTCAAAAAAAAAAATCTCAAAAGCCTAAGGGTTGGTTTGGCAAGGGCTCATTGGGCTTTTTTGGCTCAATGAGCCATAAAAGACAGAATAGGCTCATGAGCCACAACAGACAAAACATCACATCCAACCCCATAATCATTACACTCTTCTCTCACAAAAAAAATCAAAAAAGCCAAAAAGCCAAAAGCCTTTCTCAAACTAAGCTTTTGAGCCCAGGCTCATATAGTCAAAAAAGTCAAAAAGTCAACCCACTTCCCAAACGGAGTGTTGCTAAAAATTGGTACGTAATTCACAAATGGTTTTTACAAAGGGTAAAATGATGATTTTGCCCTTTGAAGTTTTGACAAGCCCACCAACTTAGCAGCAGTTCAATACACAATACAAACATCTATCGCATCTCCCTCAACTCAAGCACTGGAAGTCGCTAAAGAACACAAACGAGGAACTAGCAGACCACGCAACGGCCAATCTGCAACAACATCGGGTATGTCTCTTTGCCAAACTATTATGCCGACTCTCTTTGTTGCCGACCGTCAAACACTTTCGACAAGAAAATCAACCGTTCCGATGTGTGTTCTTCCTCCTCTTTTATCAGATGTTTGTAATTTTATTTTAATTCGTAATTTTTAGAATTAAAAGTCAAATTCCTTACAAATTTGTATATTTTTTTTAATTCATAATTTCTATAATTAAAAGCCAAATTTCTTACAAATTTGTATTTTTTTAAAATTCGTAATTTCTATAATTAAAAGCCATATTTCTTACAAATTTGAATTTTTTTAATTCGTAATTTCTATAATTAAAAGTCAAATTTCTTACAAATTTGGCAATTTTCTGTAATTCGTAATTTCTATAATTAAAAGTCAAATTTTCTTACAAATTCATAATTTTTATAATTATAAGTCAAATTATTACAACAAAACAAAAAGATTGTTAATAATTGTGTGTGGTAATTTAAAAAAAAAAAAATTGGAAACAAATTTTTTATATTTTTTTAGTTTTAATTAGGACACCATTTTCATAGTTTATTTAGAAATCAAAAATTTAATTCTACTATTTAATTTGAGTGTACTGTTTGGTTATAGCTTTAGGAAATTAAGGGGTTGTTTGGGGTGTTCTAAATAAGTACATTTTTTATCTTTTTAGACTAAAAAGTTGAGGTTAAAAATATGAATGTCTGGGTTAACTTTTTGACTTTTTATGAAAAAAATGTGTAATAAAAAATTGTAAAAATTGATTTGTATAGTGTGTAGGAAAAAATTAGGATGAGGAGTTGTGCAGCCGTAATTGTTGATTTTTGCTGAATAGTAATAATTTTTTAACTTTTTGAGTAACTTTTTGATTTTTTAATTTTTTTGAGACTTCTCAAACTTGGCCTAATTTTACACCCATTTTTCAAAATATTTTTCAAAACACGAACTTTTCAATAGTATATGTCACATCATTCAATTCAAACTCTTTTTTAAAATTCATAATTAAACAAATTTTCTACATTCAAATTATAATTTCAAAACTCATAAATTCAAAATACACCTTATTTTCAAATTATAATTTTAAAACTCTACCAAATACAATCTAAAACTTTTGAACGTATGAAAATCTAATGTTGGTAACAGTTGAGGGAAAAACTGTGCAGTGTCACGTCAACAGTATTTTTTTTTTGGGTCGGAAAAGGAGCTGCACATTTAGGGGCACAATTTCGTCATTTATTATCTCAACATCATTTTAAATTAAAATAGCCTAATAATAAATAAAAAAACCTAAAAAATAATCACTTCTTAAACGAGACAAAAATTCAATATATTTATATTAAACTTGTGGTTCTTAATGTATTTTTTCAAATTTCAATATGAGTTAATGTTATTTATCCCATTTTTTTCTTTCTATTTTTACCCCAAGAGTATTTAATTTTTCTGTGCCCTCTAATTTTTTTTTATTTTTTTTTAAAAAAAAAGAAGGAAACCAACGCCGAATTTGACTTGCTCAATTTGTATGATTTGGTCCACTTTTGAGATGACGATATCAAAAATATTAGAGGTTTTGAAAATTTTACTAAATGTTATACATGGGTGTCAGATTCATATGAAACTCACATTGTGTAAGTCCTACATTCATGTGAGATATTTGGTAAAACTTTTAATAGAATACTAGTAGTAACCCGTTCTATGCATAGGACTTCATAAATTTAATAAAAAAAATCATTATGATTATCTTAAAGTAATTTAATATTGAGATAATTACCTAAAAGTCCTATCTATATATTTGGTGGTAGCTTAGGTCCTATCAAAAAGTTTTTGAACCAATAAGTCCCATTTAAAAGTAAAAACACGTTTTTGCCCTTTAAGATAAATAATTGTATATAAAATTTCATTCACGTTATTTACTAGAAAGAAAAAAGGAATCAGTTAACAGATCAGTTATGGAAGTAGCTAAAGATTCGAATCGTGAACGATCTTGAAGGATTTATTGCTTTGGTTCACTATTATACGTAATTGATTTCTCGATTTTGATTCGAATATGAAAGGATTTTGAAGGATTTTTTAGTTTGGTTCGCATTTTGAGTTGAAATCTGTTGGAGTTTGTTATGTGCGATTTAGATTTGTAAATTGAAGAATTGATTTGCTGGATATTTGATCTTCGATCTGTTTATAAGTATGTATTGTTTCAATTTTGTATATTATGTTTTTTTAGAATTTTCTTTAGTTTTGATTAAATTTATTTATGAGAATATGTTGAATAATTTTGTTTTAACGAATTGAAGACGTGATTTGCTGGATGATTTCACGGTTTGGTTATTTATTTTATGAATTGAAAACGTGATTTGTGAAGTATTTGTATTGTTATGAAGTTTTTTGTTCTGGTGTTTATTGTTATGAAGTATTTGTGAAAACTGAGAAAGTTCTTAGTATTGTTCTGGTTTTAATTGATGCGATCTTTTTTTTCTTGTTTAGATTGAAAGATGAATGAAGGTTGTACAAGTGCCCCTATTTTTTTGTTGTGCAAGTATAATGGTTGCACATTTGCAATTAAGATTGATCAAAATGTTACATATAATTAGTTGGTTAAGTAGCTATGTTTGAAATGGGATAATTTGCAATCTGATAATATTTGTCTATCTTACTCATTGCCTGGACATCCTAATTGTACGTTAGACAACAATGAGGAGTTAGATTTGTTGTTGGCATTAGTTGTGCATTTTGATTCAAAGTGTATTGATGTTGTTGTACGAGTAAAAGACTCAACCATTGACTGTGGTTATCTCAACAACATATTGGATTATAGAGAAAGAGAGTCAATGTTGAATCTTGAAGTTTGTGAAATTGCATTGTCTCATGACAGCAGTAAGTCTGTGAACTTATCAAACAGAGCATCTACATTTTCCAAAAGGAATTCGAGGTTGGAGGTTGAAGAAGAGGTTGATATGTTATCATCATTTTGTCGACACAAGGGAAAATCACTGTTGCCTGCTGGTTGGGCCGTTAGTATTACACATGTATGACAGAAATTTGAAGGTGGAATTGTTGAATTTTGTAATGCATTGTTGAAGTTTTCTATTGAGTGTGGATTTGAGTTTACATTTGTTAAGAATGATAAAGTTCGTGTTACTGCACAATGTTTGTTTAGAGAGACAAAAGGTTGTATGTGGAATGTTCATGGTAGAGTGGAGAATGCTAATGGGTTCTTTTATATAAAGAAGTTGAACAATGTCCACACATGTGGTGCTGAAATACGGACGATGACTCATTCTCGTATGAGTTTTGATTTAGTTGTTGATTTGATTGTTGAAAGTGTTCGTGATAATCCATTGACACGTCCAGTTCATGTTGTTCGGGATTTTAAGTTGGGGTATGGGCTGAGAGTTAGTTATTGTCAAGCTTGGTTTTGGTAGAGAAAGCAAAAGGTGAGATTTTTGGAGACTACTTAATGTCATTTGACCAGTTAAGATGGTATGTGGATGTTGCAAAGAGTTGCAATTCAGGGAGTTACAATAAGTTTGAGTGTGACGATGACACTAAAAGGTTTAAGAGATTATTTGTTTCTTTTCATGGTTCCATTAGTGGATTTGATTATTGTCGACCTCTCTTATTCCTTGATGGCACATTTTTGAAGGGAAGATTTAGAGGAAATTTACTTGCTGCTACAGGAAAAGATGGAAATCAAGATACATAAGAAATTTGTTTTATCTGTTCTGAAATTGAGAAAGTTCTCAGTTTAGAAATATGATTGAATGTTTTAAATTTTATATAATATTGTTGTTGTATATGCATTTTTTATTTTTTTTAGTTATTCATTTTAGTGTTTGATATTTTGAATGTTAGACATTTTCTAAGAATAATATAATATTTTCATTTTTTCTGTTTTGTACATGCAGGGTTCTTTCCTATTTGTTTTGCAGTTGTTGGCTCAGAGAATCAAGATAATTGGTGCTGGTTTTTGGAGCATTTGAGTAGAATTGTTTCACCAGAACGAAATATTACATTTGTGTCAGATCGTAACCTTGGATTAGTTGAAGTGTTGCTAAAGGTTTTCCCAATGGCTTTCCATGCTTATTGTTTATATCATTTGAAGATGAACTTAAGGCATCATTTGCGTGGTATGTTTCATGGATTGAAAGAAAAACTGATCACTTTGTTTGGGAAATGTGCATATGCTCCAATTGAAGAAACATTTCATCAATGTTTGGTTGAGTTAAAGACTGAAGATGGGTCAAGAGTTGAAAAGTTTTTAGATGACATACCATATGATCATTAGAGTAATGCATACTTTCGAGGACAACGGTTTAGAGAGATGTGGTCAAATGTAGCTGAATCTTTCAATTCGTGGATACGAGAGGAACGCCACTTGCCTATCACAAAGTTGATTGATAGTGTAAGAATTAAGTTGATAAGGAAAATTGCTAAGAGGAGGGAACTTGTTAATAAATGGAATGGTTTGACTTGCCCTAAAATGGAGTCCAAGTTGCATGATGGTTTTAATACTTCGAAGCCATGGATTGTTAGTTCATCTGGAAATGATGTCTATGAGGTGCATTCACATCCATCTGTTTCAGTTGACATTAGTAGAAGAATATGTTCTTGTGGCGAGTGGCAGTTGAAAGGGTTTCCATGTGCACATGCAGTTGGTGCTATACAAAAGAGTAGACATGATTTGTGTTTATTTGTTGATCAATACTTCTATGTTCAAAGTTATCAAGAGTCCTATTCTTTTCCCATATATCTTGTTCCTTCAATTTGGAAACCAGATTGTAATGTTGATGGTGATAGTGAAGTTGTTCTTCCTCCTTTGTCTAAGAAGCAACCAGGAAGGCCAAATAAGAAGAGGATTCGTTCAAATGGTGAGAAAGTGAGGCAAATTACTTGTAGTAGATGTGGGAAGGTTGGCAATCACAATAAGAAATCGTGTAAGGAGGCTTTGTGATTTTTTGTAGTTGCTTTGTGATTGTAAAAATTTTGTATTCATAAATTTCTTGAAGCAGCAGTTTGTGTTATTAAGAGCTGAGTAATAATCTTCTATGTTTTTGAATAAAGTGACATTGAATTGAAAGTGAAAATATTCTTAGTTTCATATTTTAATTTTTGAAATTGTTTGTGATAATATTGTTTGGTTGGCTTTCGGAAATAAACTTGACTATTGAATGTTTGTTTTGCAGATTATGTGAATTCTATATAAAAAGTGAACATATTCTCAGTTTAAGTTTTTAGTTCAAAATAGCTGATTTTGTGATAATAGTATGAGGCTCTTGTTATGAATTGGAACTAGTTATAAATGTGATGAATTGAATGAGTGTGAATTAATATTCTAAATAGATGCGGTCAATGCTTTATGTTTTGATTAAAGTAACAGTGGACTGTAAGTGAAAATATTCTTTGTTTCGAATTTTAGTTTTCATATTGTCATAATATTGTGAAGAAGCAAATAAATTGTTGTGATAATATTGTTTGGTTGGCTTTCAGAAATAAACTTGACTGTTAAATGTTTGTTTTGCAGATTATGTGATTACTATATAAAAAGTGAACATATTCTCAGTTTAAGTTTTTAGTTCAAAATAGCTGATTTTGTGATAATAATGTGAGGCTCTTGTTATAAATTGGAACTAATTATAAATGTGATGAATTGAATGAATGTGAATTAATATTCTAAATAGATATGGTCAATGCTTTATGTTTTGATTAAAGTAACAGTGGACTGTAACTGAAAATATTCTTTATTTCGAATTTTAGTTTTTCAAATTGTCATAATATTGTGAGGCAGCAAATAAATTGTTGTGGTAATATTGTTGTTTGAAAATTGAGTGATCTGTATAAAGCTGAAAATATTCTCAGTTTTAAAGTTTCTAAGTTTGAAAATAAGTGATTGAAACAACAATAAGTTTGAAAAATATTCTCAATTTTAGTTTTATGCAGTGTTTTGTGAGGCAACAAAACATTGTATAAAAACTGAAAATATAAACAAAAACATCAACAAAGCACTGATTGTGATGCAGTAAAGTCTTGTGTCCACTATTTTCACATGTAATACTATTTTCGCTTTTGCCATATAGTAGTGTGAGGAACAGGATAATAGAAACTGAGAATATGGACAAAAACATCAACAAAGCTCGGGTGCATATATCTTTGAGAGTATGACAAAATATTTCATTACACATCATAGAAATTGTAATATGTTTGTTAGGTAATATGCTTGGAACTATTAACAAAAACATTAGTCATTGTATCAGAGTGTTACAAAAAGAGTTCACTGAGTTACACATCAAAAAAGATTTCATTGAAGGTTGCAATCTTGACTCTACTTGACTTTAATTGATCTTTGTGGATCACTGAGGAACTCATATACCATGTCTGCTCTGAGTCTTGTGGATGTGCCTGGTGGTAATGTGTTTGGAATTGGTTGATGCCTCATGTATTATCTTATGATGTAGCAAACAATAATTCCACAGTCATTCCTACAGAAATCATTTTTGACACAGTTAGGGAAAAAAGAAATTTTTTTGAAAAAGATATTAAAATTTGTTAGTTAGAATAAATTAACATATGTCATTGCTTCTTGTTGAGGGCTGTCTTTAACTGATTCAATCTTGACATCAGGATTTCAGGCTTTTTCTGCTTGACAAGGTGTATCCTTCATGTATTGATGGATGATTTTTTGCTGTAAAAAACATCAACATAAAGTATGTAATGATTTACATCTGATTATTGTAATGCTAATCTGAAATTGTTCTTACCAGTTGATTTGCAACGTTGTAGTGCTTGTCCTTTCATTTTCTTGGTCTCAAAGAGTTGAAATGTTTCCAAGTCCCCAAGTGTTTGTCGATAACAAGTAATGTCCAATGATTGAAATTGTGGATGGGGATATGGATGTATTGACATGGGAGGGATTCTTGCAAAGTATTTTTCAAAATCTTTTTCCTTTGTTCTAAAGTTTTCTTCTTCAACATTGGTTGTTTTTTATTAAAAATATGTGAATATTCACAGTAATGGTACAAAACTCAATATTTATGTCGATGAAAAGCAACAAACATGATTAACTACGATTTTTCACTCAAATTGTTTTGAAATCTGAGTATATTCCCAGCAATGATACCAAAATCAAAATTTGAGAACATTCACAAGAATGATAACAAATACGAAAAATCTACTTTGAAACCAAAAATGAACAGAAGATAAAGTATAGAATTGACACATGCACATTGATTCCTTACCCAATATAGACTTGACAGTATGAAAGACTTGCCATTGTGCTCTACTCCATCACCAGAATTCTGTGCTTGTGGTTCTCTTTGAAGAATCTCAGCATATGCATCAATTGTCTATCAAATTGAAACACAAAAGTGATGTTAACAAATTAATGAGAAGTTTTTCAGTGTTAAAATATTACAAATATTATACGTACACAGCTGGATATGTCTGTCCCTTTTACCAAGTTCTTGATATCATTAAAAAACACACAATTTTCATATCTTGCGCCAAACCATATACAAGCACTACAAAACAATAAAAAATGTGTTAATAATTAAGTCAGAATATTTTTAGAAGATAGAGCTATTTCTCAGTTTCATTTCATATATTTGTACTACATGAAAAATTGAAAAATTTATGTAAGATTATACCTTGATTCTGTTTGCTTTTCTTTCCAAAGAATTTGTAGTTTATATTTATCTTCAGGAGGTAGCAATTGAGCCATAGCATACTTGTTTGAAATTGTCTCATCTTTGTGTTCCTTCTCTTTCTTAACTTTAACTTTCTTGCCTCTATACTCATAATCTGACACCTCAGTAGTCTTCCTTGCTTTAGCTTTGATATTTTTAATCATGGAATTCTATAGATTTGTTTGTCTTGATTCTATTAGATCATCGGCTTTTATTGCACAAACTTGTTGGGTTAAGTCATGGACTTCTTCCTCCAGTAACTGATTCTGTAACTGAGAATTTTGATAATCTTTCACATTTATATTTGTCTCACAATGTTTTGTTGCAAAAGGTTGTTGCGTTATCTCATGGGCCTCTTTTTGATGGAGCTCTTTGTCCACAACTTCAGAATTTTTATGGACCTCTTTCTGATAAAGCTCTTTGTCCACCACTTCAGAATTTTCATGGACCTCTTTCTGCAACACTTGAGAATTTTCATCGTTTATTGTATGACCTTCATTCTTTGCATCTGTCCCAGAATGTTTTACTGCACAAACTTCTTGGGTTATCTCATAGACCTCTTTTTCAACCAATTGGTTATGCAATCAAGAATTTTCATCTTTCAATTGTTGTATTTGTGCTGTGAGTAGCCTGTTATCCTCTTCAAGTTTATTTATGTAGATGGTCTTCACTATGTTGTCTAGTTGAAAATTGTTGTTCTCAATTTGAAGTTTCTCAAGTGTTTGTTGATGAATTTGTTCTTCTCCCTCAGGTGCATCATTGAGTATAATGTTGCAGAAGTCATTAAAGTCTTCATTTGCTGGCTTTTGTTCTTAGTGGCACTCTTCAACATATTGACCATCTTCTTCTTCTTCTTCTTCATCTTCTTCAGAATCTTCTTCTTCTTCTTTAGTATTTTCAGCATCTTGTTTTTGTTGTTCTTGTTCTTGTACTTCTTCTTCAGTATCTTCTTGTTCTTCATTTTCAGCATTTTCAGCATCTTCTTTTTCTTTTTCTTCAGTGTCATCAAGTTCTTCATCACTTTTCTCATTCAATTGAGCACTAGTTACCGGCAGGTCAACATACAATAGATATTAGTTTTTGAAATAATTAAAATTTAGGAAACTAAAAAGTTTCTCAGTAATAATTCAGTGTATAAAAATAAAGATTTTTCCCAACTTGAATTGAAATTAAAATGAGATGAGGATGTGACATGTCTTGTTGTCAGCTGATGTAGTGATATGACTTTCATATGTTTATGTAATTTGGCAAGATTCCACTTGCTCACCCTTGGGCATGCTTTGCTAACTTCAGGGTGGATGATCAGTGTATGCTCACACAACCAATACTACAAAGCAAATGTAAAGAATTTTTGTCATTTGAATAAGAAGTAATACTATCTGTTATTAACAACAAACTAATAGAATAGAGTAAAGATGTACTTACCACGAGAGCCATAACATATCCTGTGACTTTTGCTGGATTTTTGTGGTATTTTTCAATTGAAGACATCAGTGTGTTCCTTATTGCTTCTGTCCAATTGTATTTTCTCATTGAGTTTATGTCTTCCATGTAATTAAGAAATACCCATCCAACTGTTGTTCCTGATGTAGAGAAAAAAAGCTTC